CATTACCCACAAAAAATTTTTAAACGGGTGGGACCGTACCCCGGGCTGTCATCTCGCTAAGGAATTGTTAAAATATCCTTCAGCCGCAACAGCCCAGTTTTTCGTAGGGCTCGGTAAAAGTGCCCTTCGCACTGCCACAGGTCTCCTCACGGGACACTGTAAAGTAAATAAGCACCTTCAAAACATGAAGCTTGCTGACTCTCCTCTCTGTCGAGCCTGTGAACAGGATGACGAGACGGTTAAACACATCTTGTGTGATTGCCCCTCTCTGACCGACCTCAGAATGAGGACCTTCGGGGAGGAATGGCCAACCACAGATGACATCAGGAATGCACCTCTAGGAGCTGTCCTAGCCTTTGGTAAATCCTTAGGCTGGTTGATGTGACCAGAGCGTGTAATGGGAGGATGCACAAGGGGCCCAATGGGGCCTAAGTGTGGCGTGCGGTTTTGCATGCACTCCCCAATCCATACATACATACATGACAGAACCTTGAAAATGCAAAGACCAAGAGGAAAATAGAGAATCATTAGATATTTATGTAACAGGGATAAAAGTCGACTTGCCTTCGCTAAGAAGCTGACTTCTGGATTTCTAGGATAATCAAAATTTAATATTTCTAGCACGAGCCATTTTCTTACTGTACAAAACTGAAAAAATACTTTTAATGACAAAGGAGGCAGTATTAGTTCTTGCTTTAATTGTTATTCAGCGTTAGATTGTTGTATATTTTTATTGAACTAAAACTAGAACTAACACTAGATCTAGACCTAGAAACATTTGAGTTTAGCCGTGCGTTTTCAGAGAATTTAGTCCTTTATATCGATGTTTTACTATATAGTGTTTATATATTGTTCGAATAGTTATTGATTGATGTTAATAGCTCTTAGATGGTCTGATTGTAATTATTACACTTGATTGTCACAATATGTTACTACAATATTGAGGTCAATTGGACATATTAGATATATTATCATTGGATTGACATGAAAATTAATGATCAAATTAATAAATACTAAAGATAAATTGTTGGTTCGAATTTATTTCTATAAGATGTAATAAATTAGATTTTTTTAGTCACGCTATCATTTTCATTATAAACATTAAAAGTGGATCATCCGATGAGGGTAGTTAAATTCGACAAAAATATTCGACGTCGTAAATCAACCGGTTATTTGTAAAAATATTTATTACGCCCGGGCGGAGTTAATATCGACATCATGTTTAATAACAAATATACGCGTTTATTACGACCACCCCAAAAATAAATACAACCAAACCCCAACAATGACTATATCTCCCACAATCTATTGCTGTCCATAAATAACTTTGCCGCAGCGAATCTTTAGAGGATTGTTCGTGGACTATTTAGTTGACCTATTTAAACATATAAATTCACCAAGGATTGCATAAAAAAGTTACAAATTTGAAATTCGAGATATTTTCTAATTGACTAGAAACCGCATCAAATGTAAGGTTAATTA